AAGGTATATTAATACGAAATATTTTACAAGATGACCTTAAAGGCACAGCATTAAGAGGCATTTAGATTTTAATATTTCTACAAGATGACTTTAAAGGCACACATTACAAGGCATTAAGAGGCATTTAGATTTTAATATTTATATAAAGTACTCATTAGAGAGCCTTAATTTGTTAGTAGATACATAACCTTATAGAACAATAAATAAAAAATATTGTTTTATTATTGCTTGGAAATTATATAAAAAAAAATTAAAAGAGTTCAATATTTTACTTTTACTATTCTTACATTCACAATTTATCGTACTTTGTACAATAAATTTACCATTTTACCCCTACCCTACAAAATAACATGCTTTGTTTTCATAAGGCTTCAAATATCATTGTCGAATTCAGGAGGGTAATTACAGTCATCTCATAACTTTATAGCATATCAAAATATTAAATTATCCTTAAACTTTATTTTCATTTTATTTTAAAGGATATTTTCTTATTTTAAAATTGAAATGACTAAATTACTTCTAAAATCAAATTTTCTAAGTTTTGTTGTCATTGGTGTTTTTGTCATTTCCTATATGTTTTTTGTCATTATCAAGTTAGGTCGTGGATGATTCAATCTTTATTTATTTTTATAAATTATTAAAAAGAAAATGATATTGCATGCGTAGCATGAAATGCGGCTACATACTCTTTAAACAATATATGAGGTATTATCTAATGAAATAACATTAGCTTCTGCTATAATGTTTAAAGCTCCTCGACCTATTCTTCTATTTAAAGTGGCACATGCAGTGTTTTTAATGATAATTTATCATTAATTGCCTATTTTTTTTTATCCTTTTCTTTCTTTCCTTCTTCATTGAATTTTGTGTTGGCAATTAAAAAAATTAATTTTGTCCTCTTATTTTATGACATTTCATATTTGACACTAAATATTTTGATTTTTAAGTTTGATTCTTATTCCTTTTATCAAATTTTATTTTATTTTCAGTTTCATCCTTTTATCTATAATCTTGATTTTTAATTTCTTCAAGTTTGGTCTACATTCTCTTTATTTTTATTTTTGATTTAGATTCTACTGTGAATTTAATTTTTTTCCAATCATACCCTTAAATTCAAAGCTTGATAATATTTAAGGTCCTCAATGTTTTAATTTCAAATTTTAACTTCTAGATCTTCTATCAAATTTTAATTTATTTTTAATTTTATCATTGGATCTATAATCTTGATTTTTTTTAAATTTCATTCTTATTCTCTTGATTTTTATTTTTTATTTTGGATTCTTATTGTTAATTTGATTTTTCTTTTTAATTTCACCATTTAATTCAAAGTTTGATAATATTTAAGATTAGGTCCTCATTATTTTGATTTTAAATTTTGATTTTTAGCTATTTTATCAAATTTTATTTTGTTTCAAATTTTATCCTTGTATCCATAATCTTGATTTTTTATTTTTCAAATTTGGTCATCATGCTGATGCTCATTCTCATTCTCATTCTCATTCTCATTCTCTTTATTTTTTATTTTTTATTTTTTTGATTTGGATTAATTTGTTAAATTGATTTTTTCTTTTAATTCAAAATTTTAGTCTGTCCTCTTATTGTCCGTGAGTCAATCCGAGGCAAGTATTCAATCACGTGTCAAGTATATTGACCTAAGTAAAAAAAATTATTTTACAAAGAAAGTAAAAATAAAAGAAGATAGTCAACGAGTTTTGACTAGATTTGTCACGGGTTGATAAGGCCACGGGTCAACTCGTGTTTTAGATAATTTTATATTAGGTCAATTCTCTCTAAATTTCTTTTAAAATATGAACCATCCTAAACCCCGAGTCGCAGCTCAACCCATATTTTTTTATTAGGTTATCTTGTTCACATGATTTTGCTTATGAGTTTTGACGATCTCACTTGGATTTCTTGATTCTTTGTTTTTTTAGACTTATTTTTGTTAAATGATTTTTTTTATTTTATCCTTATATATTTAGATTCCTGAGGATTGAAAAATTGTAATTGTTTTTCAAATTTTTTTTTATGATTTCAAGTTATGGATTTTTTTTCTATTTAAAATACATCAACATTGTTTGAACATTGCTTTTTTACATTACAAAAAATTCAATCTGCCCATAGTGAAGAACAAGCCACTTATCTAGTGCTATGCTATATTTCATCTTTTTAGTTGAAATCCAAACTACTTTACTCAAAACTAAAATATATATTTAACAAATTAAGTTGCTTCAGTTTTTGTCAAACTTTCAAACTTTTAGAAGATGATAATAATTTCACTAATTATAAAGTTAATGTAATTTATTCTATTATTAAAGAAATTTGAAAAGTCTGAGGCTTAAAGTCTAAAAACTTACTAGAGCTTTAAATAGGCTCAATTACTTTTGTTGTTTAACTTTCTTTTTAATCTATTTTTGTCAAAAAAAGCATTAAAATAATAATTTTTATGTACTTTTTGATAACTTAAATGTGTAAATATAAAAAAATTATTTTAATTAAAAAATATTTTTAAAAAATGTATTGTACTACAATACCAAACACACTAAATAACCATCAAAATCTCCAAATTCAGTGTATAACCCAAAAGAATTTCCATGTTACTATCTTCAAGTTTTATCATAAAAAGCTCTAGGCCCTAAATATTTATATATATAGGGAACAAAAATCTCTTAAAGTACAAACTTGGATGAAAAAATGACAATGAGAGGTGAGCAAATCTAGTTGAATTTTAAAATCATGACTTAGATTAGGGATAATCTAATAAAAAAAAAAGTTGAAGACAATCACAAAAACAATTAAAAAAACTAATATTAAATAATAAAATAGAAAAAGAAAAAAAAAGGATATTAACCCACATTAACTTTTCAAACTAGTGACCAGGGTTATTATATCGGAAATATCATATATAAAAAAAAACAAACCACAATCCTCAATAAATCAAATGCTATAGAATAAAATTGAAAAAAAAATTAATTAGATGAAAGGATCTAAAAAAAAAAAAAATAATAATAAAAAGAATAAGAGTGGAAATTAAAATAAAAAATAAATTAGAGAGCAACTAAATTTTTTTAATTTGAGGGTTAATTTGAGAAGAATATAACTCTAATAAAAAGAAAAAAACATCTAAAAAATAAGGACTAAATTGAAAAAGTAATATACCCTAAACTTCTATTGAAATGAGGAGTTGAAAATCAATAAAAATTTTATAATATGATCAAGAAAATAAATAAAAAAATAAAAAATAAAGATTAAATTGAAAATAAAATTTACAAAAAGATCAAGAAAAAAAATTAAAAATCAAAACAAAACAGATTGAAACTAAAAAATATAAAAATAAAAAGGACTAACCTGTAATTTAAAGGAAAAAAAAAGATAAACTAAAAAAAAATTCATTAATGACAAACCATCCAACCTCCTCTAATACAAACCACACCACGAGAAAAAAACATGGTAGCACTCTCAACCATATCACAAAAAAAAAGTCTTCAACACTACATTGGTTAAAGAAAACTAGAAGAAACAACTTTGATATTTTTACTGTTGGTATTAAAATTTGTTATTTTAATTAATTATATTGTTTTTGAAAACTTATTTTTTTTATATTTATAACTTTTAATTTTTTTTTAAATGTACCTATTTTAAAATTTAAGAAGTTGAAATATCAACTTATGCAAGTGATATTTTAATTTTTTTAATGGGAGCTTTTTCAAACGGTTTTTTTTAATAAAAAAAAGATAGAAATGTTGTTTCACACTTTAGACAGGAAACATTATGTTCATATTAAATTATTCTTTTTTATTTGAAAGGATACTTATTAGCCTATAATATATATATATTATAGGTTATTTTACCTAAGGTATTATTTCCAACCAAAACATAGTCCTCATAAGGGATCATAAAGCATTTCTTTCTTTCTTTCTTTCTTTTTATCTTTATATATATATGTCTTACGGGTTCCAAGAAATTAGTGGGAAATGAAAATTAAATTAGATCATGTACTTAATATACAATTTCTTTTCTAAATATTAGAGAATACTATAAAACAAGTATTCAATATTAAAGCCTTTAAGAATTAAATGATTATGAACTTGAATCTCACATCTTAATTTTTCTAATTAAAGTATAAGGTATAAAACATTTAGAAAAATTATATAGCAGCAAATTGCAAATTTCACAAACCACCTGCTCATGAATGATTTGTCATATGTCATAAATTCAAATAGTAGTAGAATTCACATGAGAAAGTGTCAGCTGGATGAAAAAATAAAAATTAGGAGGCTGTCTCTGTTCTAAAACTTCCATTCCTTTTAGTGCTGATGGACTTAACATGGAAGGACACATTACGTACAACATGAAATGCTTCAAGCCTAGCTAGGCGACAACAGTATCTATTAATTATCTAAAATCCTGAGAAATCTAGCTTTAATTAGTCAGGTGTAGAGTTTCATTTCCAAACATGGCCGATTCAAGATTAATAAATTTTATAACTATTAAAAATTTATATAATTATTAATTTTAAGATATTATCAATTTAAATTTAATAAATTTTAAAATTATTAAAAATTTATATTATCATTAACTTTAATATTTATAAAATTAATTAATATATATATAAACTGATTTGAATATCCATATTAATCTAAAAAATTATCCATATTAAGAAGGAGAAAAAATCTTGACAGAAATAGAAGCTCCACACACCATTGAAGAAATAATACCAATATCTATAATTTTATCATAATTATACAGACCATGTGTTTTTAAGAATGGAGTTGTTTTTTCTTTTTATTATATTTTATGAATATGTGAGTAGTTGTTCTAGGCTGACCATGATAATATTATAAAAATGGAACAATGCATCGCAAGGTATGAATTTGTCATTCATTCAAAACCCCAGCACATGCAACGCTTTGCCAGCATCTCCCGCACTTAAACGTAACTACTAGGAAACTCCCTCCTCCTCCCATCCAAATCATTCGATTGATGTGCCCCATCTATTTATAGATTAGCACACACTCTTGTGTCACACTCTCTCGGCTGTCATAGTTCTTCACAATCATTAATTTGTACTAGTGCATTGCCGGAATACCATTCATCAGTAGACAAAACCTTCGTTCTACTTGTTACAATGGAAGGAAGAACCAGGGACGGCCATCTGGGGATTAGTCCGCCAAGATATCGAGGTGTACGACAGCGAAAATGGGGGAAATGGGTGTCCGAAATCCGGGAGCCTGGTAAGAAGACAAGAATTTGGCTTGGGAGTTATGAGATGCCTGAAATGGCCGCGGCGGCATATGATGTGGCAGCATTACACCTTAGAGGACGTGGGGCTCAACTAAACTTTCCAGAAATGGTGGATAGTTTGCCCCGGCCGGCGAGCTCTAGAACTGAGGATGTGCAAATGGCAGCACAAGAGGCGGCTTCGCTGTTTCGGAGACCGATAAAATGTTCAGAGGGAGTAAGTGGTAGCTCTAGTGGCGGCGGCGGCAGTTTAGGTCCTGTTAGGGTTGGGTTGTCACCAAGCCAAATTCAAGCAATAAATGAGGCACCACTGGACTCACCAAAAATGTGGACGGAGTTAGCTGGGGCTCTTCTGTTGGATGAGCCTGTGGCTATGGGAGATGATATTGATGTCGAACTCAGTGATGAGTGGGGTGAAATGGAGCATGAGCATGACTCCATTTGGGATTATTAATCATATACAAACTATTTTTTTTTTGCGGTACTATATAGTATATTTTTATTTTTATTATTATAATTATTACTATCATAATTATATATAATGACAAATTGATTATACTAACTTATGTAATAATGGAATTGCCTACCTTAAAATGTAGCTAATTTCTTGAATATGATAGAGCCAATAAGTTTAATTAAGCCTTCTGCATCTCTTTTTTCCTTCTGGTAGCGGGAGTTCTGGTCATTGTGGCTGCTTTTTGACAACATCGGGCTCTATTAGTGCATTGAAAGAGTTGAAAGTTTGCACCGGTAGAGGATTCGAAAGAGAGCCCGAAATGTGTTCTATTTCCTTTAAATTTGCACCAAGTCCCATTGTTTTTTCTCATTGTAAACGAAAACAATGTCTTTAATGAATCTAGCTAGCTTCTTCCATTCGTGTTTCGTGCTTAATTGTTTATTCTAGAGAAATCTGAACGTTATCGTGGTACTATATCTCTTCCCGTGTGCAAATTTGATAGCTTACAAAGAGTTCCATGATATTCAGTGGGACACCGTGAAGTTCAAATATGAGATACAAGCTATGAGTTTTAACGATCGACACAGAATGTCCAAGTCAATTTGTTTCTTTGTTGTGAGTGTAATGATCTTAGTACGGTTGTGTTTTTTTCACAAGAAAACTTCGCCTGGCAGAAATGCCCTATAGCGGATTCTACAGTTGAGCCTACCCAGGATTGCGATGGAATATTATTTACTTAATTGACACTGACAGCATTAAAAGATGTCCCAGCCCCACCTACATTTGTCAATGGCCCAAGATCTTGCTTAGATTGCCTCTTAACGTTTCCTTCGGTTTTCCTTCTATATGTTTGGAAACCAGGTAGTTCTTTAATATATACAAGAACAAAAAATAAAATAAAAATTCTACCTCCTATCCTGTTCTTTGTTCAAAGGAAGGGCTCATTTTGATTTTCCCTTTTACATGAACGCATTATTTAGAGTTTTACCAGCAAAGACAAATACTGTGAGAAGACGAAATGCTAATACGTTATATGATGGGCCAAAGCCAAGGCCTAAAGTAAAACAAAAAAATAGAGAGAAAGTTCTAACTGTCACAAAAACAAAAATAAAAAAAAACTACAAAAGCCTACCGGTCAACAAAAACAAATTAGTTATATATATAAAAAAACATCAAATAAAAAAACTTAGAACAACAAGAAACTACCTCACAATCTAAAAAAAGAGAGAAGTCATTGGTGTCCCTTGACCAGACAAATCCAGCAAAACTAAGAAAAAAATATCATTCATAAAAGTCATATGTGCTACCACAAGCAATGAGTAATAAAGGCTTGTCTACATGCATGTGTTACACATTTCAACTAACTTTTCCTTTCTTTTCTCAACTTTAGTTCTAGATTCTTCAATAATTCTCCAATTTAATTTATAAAATCTAATTGATAAAAGAACATGCAAGGTAGAAAAGGAAAACAAAAGGAAAAAGAAGAAAATATATTAACTCGTGTGTCATGTGTCATGCACTTGTAAAAGTTACAAGCACCGTTTCATTAGTATATAGCTATGTAATTACTTGACACACCTAATTCTTCATTGTAGAGGTGTATAAACTATCAATATAAACGTCTGTCTATATTGATAATAGCTATGACACATCTACCCATCTCATCAATAGTTATTGTTGATGGTTAATGCAATGTTTATCTATACAGTGTGACACCTCCACTCAACAACACATTTTATATGTTACTTATATAATAAAGGTAATTATTCTTCATTATTAATCTTGTACGGTATAGCTGCAACCTTGTTCTTCATAGAGCAATTTCGATTGCTTATGGTGTATGAATATCTTAGGTCACTTAGCAACAACAACAAACAATAGGCCCAAACAATAACATAACACATGATAATCACAATATACATTCTTCATATGATAATTACAATATATACTCTTTTATGCTCTTTGTTATTGCTCCTTTTGTTATACATTATTTTTCTTTTATAATTTACTAACTTAAACATTGAAGAATTCCCCATCTGAATAAAGAACTTGTTTTTTTTATAAAAGTTCAAGAACCATAAGTCTCACTTAACTTAATACCAATTTCTTTAAAACCCATTGCACCAACCTTGGAAAGGCCTAATTCAACTTCAAGGTTTTTTGATTTGATAAGTGACACTATATGTGAGAGCTTGAACAATATCTACTTCATTTCTATTTTTCATATATGAAAAAATTCACTTCATGGTTGGTGACTCATAAACAACAAGGCACGAGAAACTAACCAACCTCTCCACCACAAGTATATTAGCTCTTCCAAATCTTCAAAAAATCACCTATAAAATGAAAGTGTTTATTGAATTTGTTCTATCTGCATAACAATAATTTTGAACTTTACCACTCCCTCAACAAATGATATAACAACTAGCTTCATTACATGTACCACCAACTACACATCGACAACTCTGGTTTTTTAAAAGAGCAACTTAGAACAACTTGTTCAAACTAGACACTCTAAACTTGAACTCCAAAGATTAAAAAAAGAAGAAGAAGCAAAGCTTTAGTAGTCCCAAGTCATATAAATGGCTACCTCCATCAATCTTCCTCTAAATCTCACTCAGATACACCTCATTAAAAAAGACTTTAAAGTAAGATAAGATCAATAATGATACAAGCTTATGATAATGAATACCATCCTAACCAAGTGGAATATTCTTTACTTTATAATTAGGTGTTCCATACTCGTCTCTTCAATGATTGCAGGCTTATAAAGGAAAACTTAGATAACAATGATGGATTTATAAACCTAAAAACATTTATAAAATGTATGAAGTAGCTTGAAGCTTGTGACACAAGAAAACAATGCTATATGCAACATCTTTATAAAAACATTTCATGGATCTACTTGGATATGATATCATATCCTAAAGGTTGAATCTATTTTTAACTTTTATAAACCTAACACCAAACTCATCTCTTACTTTAACATTAGAATACCAACTAAAAAGAGCACAATTGATTTATTCACCATCACATAACGATAAGATGAGAGCACCAAAATATATTTCAAAAGATTTAACAAGAAAATGCTTAATTTGAAAGGTTTTCTTGAACCTATTTCCATTGAGAACCTAATTAGTGTGGTCTATAACTATTCTTTATGGGAACAATTATATGCTTTTCTTAATTGAACTCTTCTCACAGTAAAACAAGAAATAAAAATCACATTTGACCATACAAATAAATATGATAAGACAACAATAAATTTCAACAAAAATAAATGTTTAGGGTTTTTATGCCTTAACAAAGAAGATAGAAAGGTTTATCATCTAGAGGCTCATCGCCTGAGGTTACCTTTAATAGTTTATAAAAAAGAAAATTCAAATTGAACAAAAAGGTAAAGATAATGCTCACCCCACAATACCCTGCCAAAGATTAGATAATCGTCAAAAAGGTAAATATTTTATAAAATATTTAAATTTTTCAATAAAAGCAAAATTATCTTTCTAATTAGTCTTTAAGTATTTTTCTTTATGATATTGCTTTTCTCCATATCTTTTTATGTCACCACCTAAATCTCTATATCTTCAAATAAAATCTCCATACAAAATCTACATGTTTTCATATAATGATCTCCTTAAACATTCATCATAGAGATTTCCTTATTAATCCTCCAATATCATTTATATAATCCTTATTTTATTCATAAATTATTTTTTACATTGCAATCTGGCTAACCCTATATATATATATATTCAAATTTCAATTATTTAATTATAACCATGTTTTTGGTTAAATCAAATTATTCAAGTCTCAAATATCCTTTATATCCATTGTTTTGGCATATTCAAATATTTTTCCATCTTAAAAAGTTCTTATGCCCATTTTGACACCATCAAGTTTTTTTTTTCATTTTAAATATTTTTTTTATTAATAGCCTTTGTCCAACCAACAAACTTATCTATATATCTGTATTTATAGTATCTATCCAGATAGCTAACTATGTTTTCAAAATAATCACTTTAGTCTCCACCCATACGATCGACTAGTATCATATCCATAACCTTAGTCATTATCCATTTAATTGACTAAGTATCTTATCCATAACCTTATAACCGTCCATATGGTTACTAAATATCCTATTTATAATCTTAGTCATCGTTCACATAATTGACTAAGTATCATATTATTTTTCAATCTCTAATGTTACCGTTAATTTATATACATTTTACTATATTTAGGTTCCATCATTGAGGTTGATTATAATTTATATATTGATTGTTGTTGTTATAGTTGTTTGATTCGTATTTAAAAGTGTATTTTTATTAGGTTTTATATCATCATTTTGCACTTGAAGTATCAATAACTCCTTAACTAAAACATGTTTTATAATAATATAAGATACCTTTAATTTATGGTAAATGTTCATTTTAAATACACGCCTATCACATAAATAAAAGGATTGATTGATGA